ACTTCGATTGACAACAACGACTAAAACTGGGCCTGATATTTCAAGGAAATTTTCAAAGAAAGAAAAATAAATAAATAAAAGGGATCTATTCATAATACTACCGTATTATGTATAAATCATCACAAATCAGTCTTCAAAGTTAAAAAAAATATTTCAATTATTCTACATCTAACTGGGCAGCAGCCAATTTGGGAAAGAATGACCACTTAAACCCTGTACAAACTATTGGATATTGAACTATTTGATTTGGTTGACATAAATTTGTTTAATCAGTTTAATACTCTGTATTCAAACCGTACAAGTGAGAAAACATGACACCAAATAAAATTAAAGTCAAGTAATAAGAATCGATATATAGAACTTTACCTACGTGGATGATTTATGACATTTGTGTATATATATAATGACATTTGTGGATTTGAGAGTTGTTATTCTGTGTAATCAAATATTGCATTTATATATGGTATATAATAAATTAAGTAGATGATTTTCATAATAATGATATATAAATATTAATAAGGTAGATTTAAGGTATATATATAATATGAAAAATAACTTATGAATAATTTTTAATTAGAAAATTGTTAATAATATGAATATAACAAATGAACCTAGTTTATAAAAAATTAATCAGTTATTAACTTAATAGGTCGTACATTAATACATAAATAGGTTGTGAAGAAATTTTAATTGAAAATTACTAATATATTATGTATATAATAAATAGTAGATTACTTTTAACTTAGGAGGTTTAAAAAAATGTCAAATTGAACATAGTTCCGTAGTAATTAGCATATATTTCCAATCAACCAAGAGGTTGTGAGTTCAAATCCATATCCACAAATTACATGACCCTAATTAATTTAAAAATTGGAGTTTGTGACTCTGATTACTATTATATTTTTCGTTATAATAATAACTTCTAATAATTAAACATAATTTGGACCCCTATTCATCTCTTTTAAGTTTCTATTCAATCAAGAAAATAAATTTAACTGTCTATCTTTTTGATACAATAATAAAACATCTCACAATAATCAAATCCAAATAATTGGATGTCCGACAAGTCATTAATTTTTTAACGAACTCATTTCATTTGGTAACTCTTTACACTATAAATTTGTTTTTCTCTTTTGAACAAACTCTCTACAGTATTATTATTTAATACAATACATAATTCTATTGCAAGTCATATCTGCACGGGTTATGCCAATGAAAATAAGAGAAGACTCTTTCTCGTAGGCCACATTTAACCAATCTACAAATATTATTAAAAAAATGCTAGAGTACTAAATACAATTCAAACTATATATAACTCATATAAAAATAGCCTACTTGAAGAAGATTGAAAAGTTCGAGGAAAAGATGAGAACGGATAACATTTAAGTACAAGTATCTACAGCCACCCAGAAAGAATAGAAATATAGATCGATCCTAATTTACTTAATCTTTTACGACGTAATTTAAGTTTATGTTTGATTTCTATGACTATGAATCAAAAAAGTTGAATGTTAGTGAGATATAGATAAATGTAGGTTGTTCCATGTAAGTCCCATTAGATTTAGAGTAGACATGAGTGCTTTCACTATTTATACACAAGGTTGGAAATAAAATCTTTATTCCTATAAACATATTATTTTAAATTTAATTTTGAGAAATAAAATATAAACTATAAAATATAAATGACTTAGAGTGGAATTTGGAAGATATTTTATTTTAAATATTCAGTATAGTAGTTTGAAAATGAAAATGTATATATGTTTGTAGCTTCAAAAGAAGGTGAGCTAGTATACAAATTATTGGATACTGAACTATTTGGTTTGGTCGGGGATAAATGTATTTAATTAGTTTAGTATTTTAAAATTAGAAAACAAAGTAAGAAGTAAAATGAAAGTTACGTGATCAAAGTGCAAATAAATTGTGAATAAATTTTAATTGAAAATTACTAATATACTATGAATATAATAAAATAAATAGGTAACTTTTAACTTAAGAAGTTTAAAAAGTAGAAAAAGGAAAAAGAGTAGATCAGGAAGAAAAATCTAAAAAATTAGTAGTAGTGTTAATAGTAAGACAATTTCTCCGTCAACAAAATAATTAAAAAAATCTTAATTTAACAAGAAAGCCGGTGTAATTTCAGATTTAAATTATCGAGTTAGATTACAAAATTTCTAGAGTTTAAAATTTTGAACAGATTACAAAAATTAATATGTGGGATAACTTTACAGAATTTAATAATTAAAAACATACTTAAACAGAAAATTTTGAATTTTTAAAAAGATTTTGGACAAAATGAAAATATCTATAAACAAAAAAAAAACGCTAATTTCGAGGTACTAAGACGGCTTACTTTTGAAAGTAAAATAGATGTACAAATATCTTTATAAATATTAACTTTCAATAGGTTAGTTACTATACTAGAGCAGAAGTAGGGTGTATTTGAAGGCATGTTCCATACGGAATGTCACAAGGTAGATGCAATAAGAAAATTATTCAACGAGATCAGTACAACTGTAATAATATAAGTTCAAAATGTAATAGGTCTTTCAATTTTAAAATGTACTAAACAAAAATTGTATTAGTTTGAAAATCTATGAAATTCTTCTTTTAACTATTTGATACAAGTTTAAAATATCCTTCTTAAATTATCTCTCGTGCTTTTAAGAGGTATAATTACAATCATATTGTTCCAATTTTCCGAATAATTTATCCATAAAGTGGTAGCATATTCTTACCTCAGAAACCCTAATTTTTTTAATGTGGAGTAACAACCGGTAGCTAGAATTTGTTTTGAAAGTTTTCTTAGTCAAAGAAAAATAGAGAGAACAGAAAGTAATATACTAGCATATAATTTGAAACCTTTTTCTCTAATTTCTTTGACTAATTCATTATATACGTTATTGTGGTCGTGGAGGAGTATTGATTAGATTAGAACTCTTTAAATTCTTAACAAAACAAAAAAAATCTAAGTCGCCGATCACAGGCGATGGGCGGTTCAACCTTTCTGGGCTCTGGCCCGAAACTTCGAATGGCAATTTCGACTAATAGTGGGCCTGAAATCTGCAGTTGAGGCCCGTGTGATATTTCAGGACAATTTTCAAAAGAGAGGAAAAAAAAGTCTCATTTGCACTTGCAGTTGAAAATTTGAGAAGTTCAATTATTTTGTAAGAGTAGATTGAGTGAGAATTTATTAAGAGTCACAACATTTTAATTTGTATACTTTGATTAATAAATATTTTAATTCTTGACAAACTAGATTTTATTGTTATTGGCTATAGTTATATATTTTGTTATATTTCAATTTCTTGTATTTAGGAAAATTATTATAGGTGTGAAAATAGTTACCTTCTTTAACGTGTGGGGTAAACTCATGACCTTCGAAAATATGTCTTAACCAGCTCAATTATATTTAAATGGACAAAATTAGTATATATTTACAAATTTAATACACTATTTTTATATCATTGTTAAAATATATAACCAACCTACATGCTATACTATAAAGTTTATCACAATACTATTTATGTGATAAATTATATCACTTATATTATATATATACATCATTTTTGTATCATTAATAAAGTAATATACCTAATATAAATTGTATTTTAAATATTACTAAAATACCTAATATAAATTACATTGTTAAAACATGTTATTATAATAAATGATGTCTCACATTTGAGTCACTTTTGTAAAATGTTTTATTATGCTCCAAATCTTCTATTATTTAGGTCAAATATTTGCCCCCGGAAAAAACGAGAAAAGTTATTTGGTCAATATTAAAATAATTGTCGTTCTTTTGGAAATATTGTGCGACTAATTATTACCAAAGAGGATAAATTGTGTTTCACTCATTTTAAAATAATCCAACTTGGAAAAGACATTTGCTTTAATTTTTCTATTATATAATTAGAGTTGGCAGCCTTAAATAAGGTCTAGAACGAGGAAGAAAACTTTTCTGTTCTTCGGAATTATTTTCTAGGGATAGGGCTAGAGAATAATTCCAATTTTTTGTAAAAATTACTATTAAACTTTGCCGTTAATGTATAATAAATCTATCAGTATGAGAAAATCACAAATAAGAAATTTTCAAATTGGAGAATGGAATAGAGATTGATGATTTGATGGAGATGTTCAACGCTTTCATTAGGTAAGAGACCAAGAGTGCAATTCCACCATACCCTACCCCACACTCAAAATGTGATTACCTCTAACAATACACTCATATATCACACTAGAAAACAATAATTTCGTGGGCTAAAAACTAATTAACCAATAATATCCTCCCAAGATTTACATATCCTTCCTCCCTAATTTATATATTTAATGCATTATTTTGCAACTATTCAAAAAACAACTCATAAACATCGACACATTTTTCTTCACAGATATCTTATAAAAAAGATAAAGAAACTTTCTTTTGTTTTCTTAATGATTTCCAATAATATCTCTATCAAATTCATGGGCTTCTTTTACATAAAAAATCAATATAAATTGGAAGAAAACAACAATACATGAATTCGAACACATGATTTTCTACTTTGATACTATATTAAAGATGAATAAACCAACGCTCAACCCAAAAAATTAAATTAATAGATTGGATAAATTTAATTCATTTATAAAGATTCTCAATATTTTTTTTTATATCATAATCTTAATGCCTATGAAATGATGGTTTGCGTCCCCAGCTTGCTTTCTCTCCAACCAAACAAACCAATTCTAGTTCCCCTCTCTCTCTCTCTAGCTATTATATCATATCATTAATCAAAGATTCTCTTTACTTTCTCCGAACAACATTTCCACTAGAGAGACAGCAACAATTCAGGAGCACGGCCTGTTTTTTTTTCCGAACAACTCTAAAGCCAGGAAAAAGTATACCTTCCTACACATGGAAAAGTGGAATTTTGGCTAAAAAGAAGATCCATATACAAAAGAAAAACCAACCATCTTTCGTCACTAATTATTATGTGGGTTAAAAGAGATATAGCCCCTAATCATGAAACTGATTAAGCATTAAGGCTTAATTTAAAACATCAATTAAGAAGAGGAAAAAAAAGCACATGGGATTTTGGAGCCCACACAAACTCAAAGTGCATGCGATTGATCAATACAAAGTTCATCCCTCTTCACATCTCTCTCTTTAGACACCCTTTTTTCTTTCCCCGCCCCATCTCTAATTAACAAAGCCACTGATTGAATTACAAAAGAAAAACCAAAAGTCAACAAAAGATGGGCAAAAGAAAAAAAGATTACACACACAGTCAAAGCATGACATTGTGGGTAGTGGTCAAAGTCAAACATTTTCGTTGGACGGATGGATGAGGAGTGGCTGAGCAATGGAGGACTTGATGTGGGCGGGCGTACGGGTGCTTCCGTGGTCCGGCGCGGAGAGGATTGCCGCCTTCTCGAGTGCGAACTTTCTCTCTTCGCTTTTGCCCCATAGGACGAAGTATAAGCCGGTGATGATCAGCACGGCCCCGATGATCCTGTACATCACGCCCCATTATAATTACCAATCATTTTCCTTCTATTATCATGCTCTTTTGTTAGGTAATTAAACAGGCCCTGATTAAAAGTCGTTAGTTTCTTTCTTAAGAAAAAAAGAAAAAAAGAAAAAAAGGTAGTGATCTAACGTCTAGCCACGACGCCAGCCTTGTGAATGTGATATAAGTCATATGCTCTTGTCCTTTCAAGAACCTAAATCAAGCTAAACATTTGATTGAATAATTAAAAAATATATATATTTCCATTGAAAAATTCATAATTCATTCTTTTTTCCCCCTTTTTAAATCACATTTCTCTACTTTGGTTTTCAAATAAGCTTTGGTTTTCACAAGAAGGTGAAAAGCTATATTTACATATATATTTTTCTTAAGATGGAAAATATTTGACCCTGATGTTAAAGAACTAAATCTTATCTTTATCACTATTGAAAAAGCAATCTTGAATTGTAAAAGCAATTTTGTGGTCCCAACCCAGAGATGCAGAGGCAAAAACTTTTTATAAAAAATAACGAAATCTCAATTGAATGGTGGTGACCGTTGAAGAGTAAGTATTTTCCGAGTAAAATATGGGTAATCCTACGGCTGGGGGTGTGCGTTTTTGGACCAGATTGGATGGATGAGATTGTCAAATCAGATGAAGAGATGGAGGGTGAGGATTGAGCGGTGAAGGAGGGACCTACCCTCCTAAGTAGAACTCTTCACCTAAAGCGAAAGAAGCCATGATAGCGACAACGAGAGTCTGAACAGGTTGATAAACAGCGACGAAGACAGGGCCACCTCTGTCAATGCACCATATCTGAACAGCAAAAGCAATTCCAGAAGCCACCACGCCCTGCCATTTTCACTTCCCTCGTTACAAAACAAATAAACAACATAATCCCAACTCTCGTTGAGTTGGGTATTAAGAATATGAACAAAAGATTGAATTTTTAAACTTACGGCGTACAAGACGCTGAAGATTTCGCCGCCGGAGTGGAAGAGCCAAGCCTGAGAATCGCGCTCAACAACGGCGGCGATGATGAGGAACTGGATTATCCCAAAGAAGCAAGTACAGGAAGTGACGGAGAGGCGAGCCGGGTACTTCTTGAGAACGGGGGCCTGAAGAACGAGCCAACCGGACCAGGACAAGCAATGGCCGATGAGGAAGACGCAGCCGAGGGTCCAGCTCTTGGCGCTTGCGTCCCCAAGAGAGGCAAAAATGGGTGCGGTTGTGGTTGTGGAGATGGTTTGTAGTGAATTAGGAGCATTTGGGCTGTATATTGTTGGCCCTTTGTACAGAGTGATCACTGTGGCCCCGGCAACACAGCATATTGTTCCCATCACTTTTGCTATACCATCCTTTCTGTTTAGTCGCACTTGTTCAATTCTGCAATCATGGAATATATCAACTTAAATATAATTCTTTTTTTCTCTCTCTCTCTCTCTCTCTCTCTCTCTCTCTCTCTTTGTGTGTAAATAGAAGATGCATGGATAATAGTTAGAAACTCTTGCCGGAGCAATGCAGCCATGAGAAATGTAATTGCCGGAACCGAGTTTTGTATCGCCGATGCAAACGTCGGCGAGGTGTGTTCCAATCCCAACAAGTAGAATCCCTGATTCGCCGTGATCCTATAACATACAATATTGAATATACACCAATTAGTAAGAGGTGTGTTGACCGAGTAACAGAAATCTTTTACTACCCACGGCTAAGTTTTTGTCGGGTCAAAGAAAGAAACTTAGAGAGGAAGTGAGAGAATAGAAATTTTTTTATTCTTCTTTGAAAATACTCTAATTGTATCCGCTACATTATTAAATATTCGACAATTAAATGAGAACCATGAAGATAAAGACTTGTTTTTTTTTTTCAAAAAATAACAAGGGGTTGAACATTTAATATTGTGGAAGATAATTAGGTTACTCGGAACCCGTGAGGAGCCAAATATTTTACTAAAAAATTTAGTGGTGGGACGGGGTCAGGGAATTATTTTTAGGAGTTTTTTATATTTGGCAAGTGTGCAGACAAGGTATTTTTGGGGGATGTAAAATTTCATACCAAGGTTTGTTGTTTGATACTTATAATATGCATAGGTTTTAGCCCATTTTTAGGTGTAAAATGGTTTGGTGTTTGGTGGGCGACATACCCAACGAGTGCAAGAAGGAAGAACTGAAGCAGAAAATTGAGAGTAGTCGCAGGCCGCTCCTTCCTAATAATTAAAATAAACACAAAATTTAATTAACCACATAAAATAATAATAATAATCAAATTAAACGGTAAGAGACTGAGAACAAAAGCAGTATACTTTTCTAGGAAATAGGCAAAGGGAAGCAGGAGAAGAAAAGCAATGATGTTCCTGTAAACTAGGAAGACGAGTTTACTAATGCCCATATTAAGGGCAGCTCTGGACACGACGTGGAAGCCAGCATAGCCAAACTGCAAGGCCAACATGGCGCCATGCAGCTGAAACTTCTCAGGAATTGAACACCACATTCTGCTCCCAGAAGCTGAGCCTCCCTCAGCCATAAACACAAATTAGAAAAGGAAAAAGAAGAAGAAGAAGAAGAAGAAGGTGTGGAGATATGGAGGGAGGATTTGGAGGTATAAATATAGAATTGGAAAGGGGTGAAGAGAAGAAAGGGTGACCCACAGAAGACCTAAAAAGACGTAGTGTCAACTGTTGGTAGCTTTCAAATGTTTTTAAGTTGTCTCCCACTCTTTTTTTTTTTTTTTCTCTCTCTTAGCCCCATCACATGACAACCTCCTTCTATTTACCACATCAACATGGAGAAAGAGAAAAAAGCTGGTGGGATAATCATGCAAAAATTTTTTTGCTTACTTTACTCATTTCATTCCAGCTTTAACTACGTGTCTAAATTGATACATGTTAAAGTTTAGAGATTAAATTGTTATTAATTTAAGAGTACAATTGTTACCATTTAAGATATAAATCATTATTTTAATGAAAGTATTGGAATAAAAAGTATTTTTTTAACTCTCTTTTAATCTCTAATATTTTGATATCTTTTTAGTTTAGTGTCTCACTCGCAATTAATTAATGTTAAAATTGGTGGATAGTTACGTAGCACTAGAAATTTATTTGAGAAAAAATGTCATGTAAGATAGAAAATGGGCTAACTCCTCAAATTTTAAAGTATTATCCCATTTTAGTTTACAATAAGCAAAATTTAACATTTTCTAGTAATGAAGAACTAAATTAGAAGTACTAAAATATTAGGAGTTAAAATATATATTTCTTTCATTTTGTATTTGCATTTTTATTTGTCTATTTTACATATATAAGAAATGAAAAGGTTAAAAAGAAAACTCTGTTTTAGTATCATTATAATAAAGTGGAGACCAATGATTTCATGTCACAAAATTATAGACAGAAAATATCATGCATCCAAATATTGATGTTGAAGAAAACTTATATGTTTAAAATGATCATTTGGTATAAAACATAAAGTGAAAATTTTACATACAATTCAATCAATAATAATGGATGTTGGTTTTTTTAAACAAATAATTCATGTTGGTATTTTTCTTATATATAGAATGGGCCTAAACATATAGACTTTTGAATTTTAATACTTGTTATTAAATTGTTAATAATTTTGGTAATAGTAGACACTTGTGAGTGTTATTTTGAAAATATAAATAGTATAATACTTTGACTAGGTGGAAAATTGATTTCAAGACGTTTTTTTATTTTTTAAAACAGAATTATAAATGAATGAATGTTTGAATAATGTTTTTTTAAAAAAAGATACACATTTTTCTTTCTCTCACAAATAATTTATTAGTTTGAGAAAAGATGTGTTATTCTTTTTAAAATTACAGGTTTATGAATAATATTTCTAATGTTCATAATAACAGTTACATTGCTGTTGACGTGTGGATTTCGACCCTACGACTTTTCTCCTCTCACACACATAATTCGATGAAACAGGAACTGATATCTGCAAAATCAAACCAATCTAAACTGATGTGACCTTAGTCACACGGGCTCCAATGCCTAAGTTAGCAAAGGGGAGCTTGAGAAACAATGAGTTTCAAGTAAGTTACTTGTCTCCTCACGGTTAGGTTGTGCTGCTATTTATAGCGGCGAGGTGGTTCCAGAACCTTCTGTTAATCGAGCCTTAATTCGGAGTTGCAAGGCCCAACGATTGTTGATGATCAACAGAAGAGGGTGGATGTTGGACTCGGCCCCGAACAGGTGTGTTTAACCCCTTGACATTGGATCTGAGCGGAGGAAGTTAACTTGTTCCTTGGCCCGAAGGCCAAGGTGAGAAGCCGGCGCCTCGGCGCCAAGGTGGGGTCGATGCCGGATCGTCTTTTGGCATGGGCCGATCCGTTATGTCATAGGCCGGTTCCCCCTAGTCGAAGATCTCGGACTTCAAATTCTTCGTTTCGGGTCGTTTTTGTTCTCTATAACAATTACAATTTAGTTTCACTCTATCACAACTTTAATAATTTTAAAAATAAAAATGGAAAATTGTAATTAGAATAGATTTCCGATCAATCCAGTTTAGCCTTTTTAATATGATAAAATGAGCTAGTGGGTGAAGAAATAACCTTAGGTTAAGACATAAAGTTGGCTTTTAAAATTAAAAGCAAATCAATTTTTTTTCTTTAATTATAAAATTCTTACTTTTGGAAGATAAGTTTTCTTAATTAAAAAATTCTTGCTTTTGGGAGCGAGAGGTGCGCAATTTGATTGAAATTGAATAATGAAAAAGAAAAGAGCTTCTGTTTTGGCGGCATGCGGCTAATTATGAATAAAGAGTGACGTGGCTGAGCCGCCATCGATATAGCGCGCACGAGCACCGGCCACACCTCTTCGCTCTTCTCTTTCTCACCATTAATTTCAATTTTAAGACCTCAATAATTTGATGTTAATAATTAATATTGTTAAGGGCAATGACAACAATATCCCCGTGTCCCGACTATTTCCACAATAGAATAATATTGTCTGCTTTCTTTACTTTTATTTTCATCTTAAAGATATCGTATTAATAAAGATAATTGTCTTCATTTATATATCATGGATCATTTTTTTACTTAATTAAGATGAGATTTTGTTTGCTGACTTTACAAACCCAACAAATATGTAGGTAAACTAAATTAATTTCCAAGTCCATGCAATATTGGGAGTGCGACTAAATTCAATATTAATGAACCCTTTTTTGATAAAAATTAAGAACAAAATCATGAGAATTTATGTCAGTAATATGGAAAATCTTTGGGCCAGATTCAGATTATGATTTAGAATGTGAATTTAGCACGTAATGTTCCTAATTTGATTCTTTTCAAGTATTCTTAAAGTTTCAAAATTCTTCCCATCTCCATACACCATACGGTATCAATTCATTTATATACCTTATTCCTATTCGAGTGTCGCGTTTACTTGAGACTAAGCTTGGCTCATAAGTGTTGACATAAGATTAGAGTTCAATTTGTTCAAGAGTGGTATCCTCTAATGGTAATATTAATTAACATTGTGCCGGTCGAAAATGAAGCTAATGTGCGGTGACATTGTTTGGGCTATTTTGTCCACACCCAAGTTTGGAAATCTGAAGCTAGCTAGCAAGCTGCTGAAAAGGCTTCAAAATTTTGCACCTTTGAATACAGTGTTTTCTCGCTTGAACAATGGTATTAATTTAATGTTTCCCTTTAAAGGCCAACCCGAGGGGAAAATAAAAAAAAAAAAAAAAGTATATTGTTTGAAGTTCCACTTCCGGATCGTGGGGTGTTATTCTGATGCCAATCTCTTTGCTTTAAGGGACATAATGCCCCCCCTGAATGGAACCGCCATCATTCCAAAATTTCAAAGCCAGCCCAGCCACAGCCACCGGCTGATTCTATTCTATTTCTGGTTTGTTTATTTAGAGCCAAGGGGTTTAAAATCTGAGAGCCACGCTTTGTAATTATGAGGTATTATAGTGCAGTACAGTGGGAATTAAAGCCTGGTTTTTGGGGCAGTGAACAGCATAAACTGACCTTCAACTCTCACCCTGCACCAGCCGGTCGGACTACACCACCACCACTACACTTCTGACATCTAAACCACCTTCACTCCCTCCTTTCACTCGACCCCACCATATTTATCCCAAGATATCGTCTATTTTCAGCATAATCCCCGTTTTATTTTTAATTAAAAAAAAATTTCATATCAATGGAGATCATTGTTACCATCTATGTAGCTCGTGGGTTGTTCTCTTACTAATGTAAGATTTTGTTTGCATTACTTTCACATCATCAAGTTTATTGGACTTTGATACTTTGTGAATTTTCATGTAGTTTCATGTCAAAATTATTTTAGAGATCCTCGAATACCTATCTTAACCTATGGTAATAATGGTTATTGATTTAAAGTTAAAGAGATTAAAATATATTATATTTGAGGGCTAAACATGTGTTTAAGGGTAAAGTAAAGGGCACGGGAATCTACAGGCATCGAAATATATATTCTATCTATGTGTATAGTTAGTACATACACTATGCTTTTAGGTCGTCGTGGGGATATTCAAATATCCCAATTAAATATCTTTTTTATTATTATTAGAAAAATGGGATGGTATGATATTCCAACATGGCACATGTGATGTGCACGTGGCGTATTGACCGACAGGGGTCGCCTTCTTGCTTTCTATTGCGCCCAGTTTGGCCACACAAGATTTGGTTCCTCAGAAACGTGGATCCTCCAAATCTAGTTACCGCTTATTCAATTCCGAATTCCTTCCACTTTGGTCAAAGGGGTTCTTATTCGCAACTTAACAAACCAAAATATATAACCTTTTTTTTTTTTTCCGAAAGAAAACTTTCACACAATTTCATTTAAAAAATACTAATTTACCAGATCTCATTATAACTCTGCAGTTAAAGGGTGTTCCGACGTAAGATTAATGTTAAGTTGGATGATAACTTGAGAAATCTTTTAAATAAAAAATTATACATACATATATTAAGAATTATAAAGCAACATTTCTAACCTTAAAAATTCCCTCACAGGAGATGGGATAGCTTTCGGTGGGAGGTGAATTATTTCTCAAAAGGGGTGAATATTTGTTGGTTGGTAGGTTGGAAAGAAATTTAATGAATTAGAGTGTTGATAAACCACTCTCTCTTGGGCGTTTCCCTTAATTATGAGTGGGAGCTGGTAAATTAAAAAGCATCCAGACAGAAATGTAATAAAAAAGCCACGTGGTGACCAAAAAAAGGAAAAATTAAAAAACAAAAACAAAAAATTAAAAAACACATGTTTTTTCTTTAACCCCCTTATTTGGAAGCTCGGATTGATGGGGATTTTCAAATCAGAATTATTTTAAAATCATTTCGTGTTTGGTTGGATTAAAAAATAGGTCGGATTTGGTACGAGAATTTTACCCTTGCAATCAGTTTAAATTGAATTAAAAAAAGAACGAAATCAACGTGCGAGAATGAGACCAATGCACAGAGAATGAAAATGAAGATGAGATGAGATAAAAAGAGAAGAAAATGGAGAGGGAAAAGAGAGAGACATAGAAAGAGAAATTGGAGAAGAATAAGAGATAAAAAGGAGAAGAAGGTAT